CTCACCGCCACACCCAAGCACCTTTGAGGGAAGGTGGTGGAACTCTCCACGCTCCTGAGGTAGACCGAGGTAACCAGTGTGAGCTGCCCTGCAGGCTTTCTCGCCTCTGGCCGGGGGTCTGAGATAAAGAGCTTGGGAGCAGGCAGGTCAGACCCAGGCTGCACTGCATTCTGAGGGGCTTGCCACCTTCAGAGGTCTGTTTCCAGACTGAAGGGCCCTCCCCTGGCCTCTGGAGGGTGGCTCTTTCTCCAGGTCCTCTTCTTATCTGGGAGAGGAGAAGGAAAGAGGAAGAGGACTCATCTTTACTGAGGGCTCATTTTGTGCCAGGCTCTGTGCTCTACATGTTATCGCATTTAAACCACACGGAGCCCTGCCAGATGGGTAAACTGAGGCTCAGAGAGCTGCAGTAACTTGGCCAAGGTGCCAGTGCAAGCAAGGGGCAGAGCCAGGATTCAAAGCCAAGCCTAGACTCCCCTCTTTCCACCAGACACTCTTGCTTCAGATACTGTGATTTTTTTCCCCTTCCTTTCTCTCCTCTTTGCTGTCCAACTTGAGGTCACAACCCGTCCTCATCCCAGGAAGTGAAACAAAATAATTACTGACAGGAATGGATCCAAAAGACCCAGCCAACTTTGGAAAACACCAGCGGGGCTGCCATCAGCCCTGTTTTATGAGGCTATGGTGATGTTGGGAATCACTCTAAAGGAAGAAGACAGAAATATCTCTTGTCCTTGCTTTAACCTGGCAAAGTAGACACAATCTTCAGGGCTGGGTGCCAAGTCATAGGCACTGTGTAGCCAGAGATCCTGGCGCACATATGGCACCTACAGGGGACGGCTGTTTGAAGGCTCTTCCTGCCAGAGGGAGTCGGGGGTGGTGGTGAGGCTGCAAGAGGAGGAAGGGGACTCTGCAGCTACAAGGATGCGGGGAATGAGCGGATGGGAATCCCAGGCAGTGGCCATTACTTCCAGGGTAATGAAAGTATGGTTCCCGGGTACCCAAGGCGAAGTCAGAGCAAATATGCATGGGTGGCAAGGGAAGGGGGATAAAAATTCCTTGGCAGTCTCCCCTTTCTCCTCTGCTCTTTTTATCTTCTCTTCTGGCCTCCCAGCCCCGGCACTCATCCGGTACTCATGATGGCACTCTTCCCATTCTCAAAGGTCTCCCTGTTAGCTGAAGATCCAAAGGAGGGTTGCTGGGAGAATAGATAGTAAGCTTGGAGCTGCTGACAGCGATGAGACAGGAAGAGCCTGCCTACAGTGGCATTAGCTGAGAGCTGAAACATCATGATAATGTCATTTGAGCCTTTGCATCCAACCATGCCTGATATCCCTGCACTATTTAGAGGACCAAAAAGTTTGCATTTTTGCTTAAGATTTTCAGTTAGGCTTCTGTCACTTATAATAAAAACAACACAAATAAAATCCTAACTGCAATAGCATCAGCTTGTCTAGTACAATTTTCAAGGACAGATTCTCTACAACAGCCAAGGCAGGATGTACAGAACTTGAGAATAGAGCCACTTGACATGGTAAATTCAGAATCCAGAGGCATCAGGGAGAGGAAGAGGTGAGCCCCTTCCTCAAGAGGCCTCGGCTCCAGGGAGGGGGTCAGATGCTCAGGTCTGACTTGCGATGCCTGGAGCTCTGTAGGGAGGCCTGGAGGAGGCATAGGCCAGGGCCTGCTCTGAGACTTGGTGACCTACAGGTTTTCCTGAGGTGTCCCAGGTAATGATGGTAGCTACCTTCTGCTGAGTTCTTACTGCGTGCCACAACGTGCTATGTGTATTATCTCATTTAATCCTCACAGCAGCCCTGAGAGGTAGATGTGTTACTGGCATCATTTTCTAGATGAGGAACTGAAACTTACAGTGGTGAAGTAACTCACTAGTCACATAGCTAGTAAGTGGCAGAGCAGGGATTCAAACCTAGTGTGTTGGACTCCAAAACCTGTGCTTTTAACAACTGTATTATATTTCTTTCAAGATGGGTCAATGGGGCAGGGAAGGTTGGCTATATGGAGAATTAATGATGATCTTTTCTGTTGGTACAGCCCTCCAGAGCCTACAAAGCCCCATTTTATATGCAATCTCACTGCATCTACTTTACAGATATGGAAACTGAGGCTCAGAGGTTGGAAGTGACATGCTCAAAGTCATTTGAGCAAACTGAATAAATTGCCCAGAGGTGACGCTCCTCAAATGAAGCAGCCAGTCTGCAGGAACTCATAGTATGTGTGCAGGGGGTGGGGGTGGCCTCACCACACTGACCCATACTTCAGAGCAGTGATGGTATCAGTCTGGCTGAGGAAGAGCTCAGAGAGATGAGGGGACCCATCAGTGTTGTGGCCACAGATCCAATTGCAGAACACAAACTCCACCACAGCAAAGAGCTCTGCATTCAGAGACTCCCAGCTCCAGCCAAGGCCCTGTTTATTTTTCAGCAACACTTGATATGGACAAATTCCAGTTCGACCAGAGACATTCAGCTTTCTGGTGTTCCTGGGGGGTGAGGGGGATCTAGCTATGAAAAGAGCCCTTTTCTTTTGTTGGGCCATCCTCAGCAAAAAGGCTGTAAGACTGAGCTGAGCCGCCTGAGGAGTGGGGAGTTGGAATCTGCCTGCCTGGCTTCCTCCCAGAGGAAAGAAGCTGTCCCAGCCCGAGCCCCAGGGGCCCTCACTGTTGGGCCTGTCCTGATGCTTTGCCGAGCTCAGAGGCACCTGTCCTAGAGAAACAAGGCAAGGCTGTCTTTTACCGTTCCCTGGGCAACTCATGCCTGGAGGAGTGACCAGGCAGGGATCCAGGCGACAGGACAGAAGGGGCCAGGGCAGCCACTGTTGTTCACTGCTGGAAGTGTGTCAGGGGACTGGAAAGTGAGCTGCAATCCCACTCCCACTTCTCGCCCCCCCCTCCAGCAGACCCTACCCTCAACACGTGGAGCAGGGGTGGTGGGGGAATCCGGCCCGGGGGCTTCCTCGAAGCCAGGTGAGCAGCCTTCCGGCCTTCTGGATTTATTTTCCCACAAGAAGTCTGTGAGCTCTGAATCTAGGGCAAGAGATAAAGGCAAGAACAGAGGGACAGAAGCAGGTTCATGTGGTCAAACCCAGCCCTTCCAGGTCTGGGAAGTCCAGCACAGGTTCAGGAGAAAAACGTCTAGGTTTAAAATCCCAGACCTACCCCTTGCTTTCCTTGGGCAAGACCTTAACTCCTTGCCACACTTATACCAGTATTTATTGAGCACCTTCTATGTGCTAGGGATTCAATGGTAAGCAGAAAATGGACTCAGTTCCCTTCTTGGAGCTTACAATTAGTGAAGGAGATGAATATTAATCAAACAACCAATAACATCCCCACCACTACCACCAAAAAAAGTGAAATGTCCAGGAGAGATACATTGTACATAATTAGGGAGAATTCACGCAGTCTGGGAGTTCAGAGAAGGCTTCCCTAAAGAAATGATAATGGAGCTGAGGTCTGTTGACTGAACAGGGCAGGAGAGGCATTCCATGCAGAGGGAACAAGATATTCAAAGGTAGGCCATTTGGCAAGAGGGAGAACGGCTCCTCCAAGGAACTGGAAAAAGGCGGCTGAAGCACCGCGGGAAAAGGCTGGTGAGGCAGACCATGCAAGCGTGTAGGTCTTCATCTTAAGAGGAAAAGGAAGCCTTTTGTGGTGGTCCAAGCAGGGAGGTGAGGCGATCACACTTGCAGTTGGAAAAGATTACTCTGGTAGCAGCTAACAGCGGATTGGAAGGGAACCAAGGCACATTCAGGAGACTAGGAGGTCTCAGATATTTGATGTAAAATGGGGTAATGATAATACTATCTCGTAAGTTGTTGCCAGAATTCAACGAGATACTGCATTTTAAGTGTTTGTTCCAGTACCTGGCACATGGTAAAAGGCTCAGTAAATGTCGTTACTGTTACTTCTGTTGGTTCTCTTCAGAGAGCAGATGTTTCTGCTTCATTCCTGCTCCTGTGAGATAGTGGTGGTAGTTTCTAGAGTGGAAATGCGGTTTGTACTAAGTCACAACGTCAAAGCCAGAACCCAGGATGCCCGAAGGCCCAAGTAAAATGGCTTGAGAGTATGAAAGATTCACGAAGAAAACCGGGTTCCAATTCTTCCCAGGAGCGTGATAGAGAGACAGGTGAAAGACCCTCCCGACGGTAAGCCCTAGGGGTGGCTGAGAAAAACGTGCTTTTCTGGCCAGTGTTCCGAAGAGCGGGTGTAGGACTGGCACTCGCGTGCAGTCGCGCGGAGGCGGGACCCTCGCCACTCTTCAGCCCCAGGTCGACCCGCAGGCTTCCGCCCGGCCCCGCTCCCCAGGGGAAGCGCGGGTGCCGGCGCCGCGCAGAGGGTGCCAGCAGGAGGGAGGGTCCCCGGAAGGCCGGCTCCAGCCCGCCCGCGGGGGCTGCCCCCTCCCCAGTCACGTGGCCTGGTGGGTGGGGACCGACCTGAAGTCGGAGAAATCCCGAGCGATCCCAACTTCGGAGTGCGCCGCCAGTCCTCCCGAGCCCGGGCTATGGCGCCGGGGCTCCGGGAGGGGGCGCGGAGGTGGGAATTTGCGAAGCCGAGCAGCGGCGCGGACGGCGGGACTCGGGGCATGGCTCAGCTGTCGGTGATCCCGGGATCGGCCACGGCGTGGACAAGTGAGCGGGCGGCAGCGGCTGGGGTGGGAGAGGCTGCTCGGGCATTGGGCCCCCATGCCCCATCCCGGTCCGGGGGACGCACAGCACCCACAATGGGAAGGGGCGGGTGGGTAAAGCGGCTGACGTAAACCCTCGGCGCTCCGAGTCAGTGCGGCCTGCACCACGCGTCTTCGCCCGCTCTTCCCCGCGCGGGGCTGCGCGGAGAGGGGCAGCCGACGCGGACGCCGACGCGGGGGAGCCGCTCGCCGGACGGGGGCGCTGTCCCGGCCCCGCCCCCCGCGCGCGCACTGGCTGCTCCCGGTGACGTCACGCTCGGGTATAAAAGGCGCGGCGCGCGGCTCTCGGGGCGCTGGAGGAGCTCGACGCTGAGGGCGGTGGGGGAGAGGGGGTCCCGGGGACGCTGGGCTGCGGGCGCCTCAGCGATGTTTTACTCAGGGCTACTCACCGAGGGCGGCCGCAAGGAGACGGACATGCGGGAGGCGGCGTCGCTGCGGCAGCAGCGCCGAATGAAGCAAGCCGTGCAGTTCATCCACAAGGACTCGGCCGACCTGCTGCCCCTGGACGGCCTCAAGAAGCTGGGCTCTTCCAAGGACACGGTGAGCCCCGCGGCCGCGCCCGCCTCGGGGTCCCCGCGCGCCGCGCCCTTCGCGCTGTGCGGTCTCCGGGCCGCCCGTTGCCTCTTTCACTGAGTCACCGGCCCCGGCCCCGGCCCCGGCCCGCTGCTGTACGGCTATTGCTGTTTCAGGCTCCTCTCCATCCAGCATCCCCCGGCTTCAGTGTCTCTCGGGATTCCGTCGCAGCTTTTCTGGCTCGCGCGCCCTTCCGCTCTGCTTCCTCCCTTCGTGCCTCTCCCTCCCGAGCAGAAGGGACCCTGCCCTGCCCTGCCTTCTTGCCCTCCGGTCGCCTTTCCTCCCCGTTATTAGCGACACCGAATTTGATTGCGTGGGGCTTGAGCCTCACAGGCTGCTTGGCCGGTCCTGTGACCCCGACAGAGGTGACTCCTAATGGGAGGGAGAAGCAGAGAACGAAGTGGGAAGGGGGGGTTCGGACGGTCACCGCACCAGGTGACTTTGGTTGAATCCCTCTTCCCCCTGTGCAAAACCTACTTCTCCGTTTGATTTTGGTCTTAGCTACCATTGACCTTCTATCCTGAGGGAGGAGAGAGAGAAAGGGTCCATTGTGAAGGTTTTCTGAACCCCAAGCATCTCTTCATCATTCTCATCCCTCCTCCTGCCGCACCCCGACCCCCAAAGAGTGGGTAGAGGGAGGAAGCCGGGCTGCTCCATCTCACTGGCCAGCTAACGTGTGGGGCTGGGGCAGGAGCTGGCGCAGGAGCTGGCGCAGGCTTTTTTCTAGCAGGGGTGTTCTTTGCATTAAGGAGGAGAAACTCCAGCACTGGAGGTCTGGGTTTAAAGACCGTGCTAGCCTCTGTCTATATGAGAGGGATGGATGGCTAAGGGTTACTAGTTTATAGAACTGTATTTGACTCATCCTTCAGTCACTGTAGTGATGCTGGGCTAAATTTATCTTTAGCTTTGTAGTTTTAGCTGGAGTGTTCTTGTAGTTTACTTGTTTTCTTGAATTTCATGATCCCTTTATTCATCTGGGCATGTAATGTATGAAGCATTACTCATATGTCTTTTAAATGAAGTAGATGCTCTGTATAATTTTTCCAGTATTTTTCGAGCTTTTGGTATGTTTAATTTGGCAGGGAGAGGAGGGATGTCAGCCTAGTTTACTGAAATTGCCATTTCCAACCCCAAAATGACTATGAAGGGCAGAGCTTCTAAATCCACTTCCTTTTTTTTTTTAAACAACTCTAATGATGCACAGATACCAATATCAGATGTACTCTCCCGCATTGTGATAGAGAATCATTTTTAGTTTATGTGCAAGGGATGTCTACTCAGTTGTCTTGTTTTGTTTTTCTGAAGGAAAAAACAAGCCACAAGATAGTCAGTGTGATTCATGCTCCCTCAGAGTGGTGAGTGACAAATGTATTCCTAGAAAAGAGAGAACTCTCCTTCAGCCCTTCTTTCACTTCAAAGCAGTCTAGGTTCATTTAGCAAATCAAGTCCAAGTCTTCTTACCTTCAGGCCAAAATAATCCTAGTTCCTGGAAGCCTCAGGAACCAATAAAGAGGGAAGTATTAGGAAAAGAAGTAAAATGTGGAATATTTGTCCTCCCTTCATGCTGGATTTAAGATATGATTGACATTTTGTTGTCTTGTGCTGTCAAGGAGTTCCCTAGCCCTGAGGAACTACCTCTCCATCCTTCTGTCTAGCATTCCTAACTAATTCATCCTGTGTGGGAAGAATTCCATCTGCTTTTCTGACGCCGGTCTGTCTCAACTGAGCCACACAGCTGCTGATAGTATAGCACATAGGCAGTAGGCTGGAAGGAGGAAGCATCCTCCAGAAGCAGGTTATTGCCATGGATGTGACACACAGCAGTTTACTGTGAGACCCTGAACTGTGGTTCACACTTTCTCTCCCCCACCATTGCCGTAGAGCTGATATTCCTCTCTCACTATTCTCACACCTGTAATGTGCAAATGATTGCACAGAAGAGCTAGAACAGGTCACAGAAACCAAGGCAGACTGAGATAGGGCTAGGAGAGCTGTGAGTACTGGGGTGAGGTGGCATGCTTAAGCTCTGTTGCCAATCTTCCTCATTTTGTATGTGAGCTGCCACCACAGAATGGCCACTGACAGATGAGTGGTGTAGGTCCGCCCCCCAGGAACTGAACCCCGGCCACCCAAGCGGAGTGTGCCAAATTTAACCACTAGGGCACTGGGGCTGGCCTGCAAAGCATATATTTTTAACCACTACTCTAAGTCAGAGCTTGGCAAACTTTTTCTGTAAAGGACCAGATAGTAACTATTTTTGGCTTTGCAGGCTGAACAGTCTCTGTCTTAATTACTCAACTCTGCCGTTGTAGTTCAAAAGCAGCCATAGATAGTAAATGAGTGGGGTTGGTTGTGTTCCAGTAAACCTTTGTTTACAAAAACAGGCAGTAGGCTGGATTTGGTTTGTGGGCCATATTTGCTGAATCCTATTTCTTTTTTGTGTGTGTAAAGTTAAGAGCTCAGTTTTTTTTAAATTTATTTTTTAAAATTTTATTTATTTATTTTGTGAGGAAGATCAGCCCTGAGCTAACATCCATGCCAATCCTCCTCTTTTTGCTGAGGAAGACTGGCCCTGGGCTAACATCTGTGCCTATCTTCCTCCACTTTATATGGGACGCCGCCACAGCATGGCCTGACAAGCGGTGCATCGGTGCGCGCCTGGGATCCGAACCCCGGGCCACCAGCAGCGGATTGTGTGCACTTAACCACTGTGCCACGGGGCCGGCCCCTGAACCCTATTTCTAAGTGGTTCTATTTCTAGCTAGATACCTTGGGTTTCTCCTCTGGGAGTAATTGCTACAAAGAAGGCAGACTTCTGTCATTCCCCTTATTTTCCAGTCTGGTCCATTCTGTGGACCACAAAATTCCATTAGGTTGATTCTCTCTGAATTCAGTATAGCATAGGTAAAGGGATTGAGAAAATGGCCTTAGAAATTCTTGTTCAAGTCATGGTTCTGTGGCCTCCTGCAGTATAATCTGTTTCTTCTCACCTCACTTTTCTCCCCACTCTACAGCCTGATTAGAAGAGATATTTAAGCACACTGGGTGGCAGATTGAGGAACCTCAGCTATTTCCACTGAGAATACAACACTGCCCGTAGAACCATTTCCTTCAGATGCTCCTGATGATGATGGAGGCAGCATATTTGAGCTTTCCTGGTTAGGGTTTGGATGCCTAAACCCTGGTTAGGGTTTAGCAGCCACATTTCAGGAATAGTAGAGAACCAGGGACTGCTTAGGTTAGTAGTTTCCTTGTTGAGCCAAAGCATAAAGCAGGATCCATGTCAGGAGGATGACTTGAGAATTATGTCCAAAAGGCCACCAGAGTACTTGCAGTACCTATCTAGCTAATTTCTAGTGTGTATCTTGAAGGACATCAGGAAAGTAAAAGACAGCCCTTGGAAAGCCAATATTTCAATAAACATAAAAATAAACCACTTAAGCAAATTTACAAAGCAACAGTCAAGGAGTGGGAATGCAAGTAGTACAAACTATGTAATGCACAAGTATTGCAGGGATTCTGAGAGAAAGAACTAGGTGATGTTAATCAAGAAAGGCACTTTGAAGAAGTAAAAGGTACAGATTTATTTGTTGGGTACTTTGTCAAGAGCTAGGGATATAGCTGTGATCAAGACAATCAAGGTCTCTGCCCTTATGGAATAACACTCTAGTAGGGGGAGTGAAATAGTAAACAAGTAAATAAGCAAAATAATTGTGGGCTTATAATTACTATGAAAGAAATAGTGGGATATGTTAGTAATTACAGAGGTGGGGTACCTACTTTAAATAGTATGGTCAGGGAAGATGTCTTTGTTAAAGTAGTATTTGAGCTGAGACCTGAGATGAGAGCAAGCTAACTATTTGAAGTGTTAGGGGGAGAACATTTCAGGCAGAGGGAACAGCAGGTGCACAGGCATTGGAATGGGAAAGAGTTTTTGAGCAAAGAGGTGTGGATGAATGAAAGGGAGAGTGGTATATATATGGAGGTTGGAGAGATGGTCAGGGACCAGAGGATGCTGAGCCCTATAGACCATGGTAAGAAGTTTGAATTTTGTTCAAAGAACAATGGGAAGCCATTGAAGGGTTTTGAGTAAGGGAATTATCTGAATTATATTTTTAAAAGGTTACTCTGGTGACTCTGTAAAGTATGAATTGGAGAAGGGTGAAAGAACAGGCAGAAGACAAGTTAGGAGGCTGTTGCAGTACAGATAAGAAATGATGAGCCAGGATATGAAAACAACCTCAGTGTCCATTGATGAATGAATGGATAAAGAAGATGTAGTTTATATAGACAATGGAATACTATTCAGCCATAAAAAAGGAATGAAATCTTGCCATTTGTGACAACATGGATGGACTTTGAGGGCATTATGCTAAGTGAAGTAAGTTCAACAGAGAAAGACAAATACCATATGATCTCATTTATATGTGGATCTAAAAAACAAAACAGACGAAAAAAAAAAAACAAGCTCTTAGATACTGAGAACAAATTGGTGGTTGCTGGGGGGCGGGGGTGAAAGGGGTGAAGGAGGTCAAAAGGTACAGACTTCCAGCTATAAAATAAATAAGTCATGGGGATGTAATGTGCAGCATGGTGACTATAGTTAATAATACTGTATTGCATTTTTGAAAGTTGCTAAGAGAGTAGGTCTTAAAAGTCCTCATCACAAGAAAAAAAACAATTATAACTATGTGTGGTGACAGATGTTAACTAGACTTATTGTGATCATTTCACAGTGTATACAAATATGGAATCATTATGTTGTACACTTGAAACTAATATAATGTTATATGTCAATTATACCTCAATAAAAAGAAACAAAAAAACAACTATTGCCTTATATACAATGGAACTTAGAGGATGAGGACACTAAAGTTACATTGCATTTCTGAGGTCTAACTTTGAAACTTTTTGGTAAGCATGAAAAAAAAGAAATGATGGTGGCTTGGATTAGGTTGGAGGTAGTA